TATAGATTTAATATATAAGATAAACTAATATAATTAGCATTTATTTACTCTTTACGTCTATAATAATTATAAATATTGAAATATAAATATTCATTTTTTTGTAAGCAGTAAGAATACAAATATAATTACAAAAATTTTAATAATAATTCACAATAAGTATTGTCATTGGTCTTCTTATTACATATTTTTAGATCATAGTAATATTGAAGTCAAAAGCATTAAAAAACATTTTCTAGCATAGCTCTTAGTAAACAAGAGTGTTAAGTTCTCTTTTGCATTATTTATGTTATCAGAATGTAGATACAAAAAAATTATGAAAAAATCTGAGATATCATGATTGCAGAGATGTATAAAAGAACAAAGATTAAATACAAAAGTCTTATTCAAGATGCTATTAATTCTTATTCTATTCTTTCTTTATAAGTTATATTAAAAGAAATTATACAAAAAATATTGAGAAATAAGGCTTATAAAATTGGCAACATTCTTTTCTACTTTTACAGTTATTTTAATGAATTTGCTAGAATCTTTTTATAATGAATTAAAGAAAATAAATCTTTATCACATGTTTTGAGTGGTATGTGATAATTTTTATTTGGCTATTTTATCTACATGTTTAACTTAAAACTTTTATATTTTAGATATCATTCACAAAGTCATTAATATCAATTACAAAAAAGATCTGAAGCTGAAAGTATATCTTTTGATTTTGTATTAAAAAAATATTTATATATAGTATTGATGATAATATTCTCAAAAAATTCAAAAATTCTCATTTTTATTTTAACAATTAATTATTAGATAAGTCTATTCTATAATGGATAGACTTGAAAAAGAAAAAAGTACGTTAGATCTTATTTCTCTCAATTATTACTGCTTGTTTTACTATCAATATTTATTGCCTTATAAACATATTTTTTTATAAATATATGTACAGTCAACTCTTGATATAGCGAACTCTTGATATAACGAATTTTTTAAACAAATATAATAAAAATACTCTTGTTATAGCGAATTGGCCAATCAAATCTCTTAAAATCTTCACTATAGCCTTATAGCGAAGTTGAGGTCTAGAACGTAAGGTTCGTTATAACAAGAGTTGACTGTATAGCAATAAATTTTGACTGCTGATATATGACAAATACTTCATAAAATTTTTAAAGAAAGTGAGTTAAAGTATATAAAAATTGAGAATTATTTATAGAATATATTCAGACAGAACAACAGAAAAATGCTGAGAATCAAAAAAATACTGTAAATAAATTAATTAATAGAATAAATAATAGGTATTAGCATATTGAAGATATAGGTAATATTAAAAAAATACAATCTTTATTTCTATATTAGAAGCCTCTGTAAATCTAATTATTTTATATTTTAATAATAATTTAAGTAGAAAAACTTAGAATTATTTATTAGTATATTGATATTAATAAATGTATAAGGTTATATTAGGTTCTGATTATTATGTAGGTTTGACTTTTTAAAATTATTACGAATTTTTTTGTGTAAAAAAAACTTTACAAATTTTTTTATATAGATAAAAGCTTTACAAATTTTTTTATATAAATAAAACTTTATATTTTTTTAGAAATTTTTACGAATTTTATTATGTAAATATAAAAAAATTATATTTTAAATTCAAATAAGATAATAAAAACAATAAATATAAGTGTGTTTTTTTATTTTAATTAATTATTTAATATTTTTTTAAAAATTTTTAATTTTTTATTAATGATTTATTGGATATTTTTACTTTGCTAGAATACATTTTTTAAGCTAATTATCATTTAATATTCTAACAAAAATCACATAATACTTCTAGTCAATCATAATTATATCACATGATCTGCTCTTATTTTAAACAACCTCTATAAATAGAAAATTTATATATATCGTATGCCACCGCATACAATATTCTCTAAAAATAATACCTTATGATTAATATTTAAATACTATTTACTATCTATATTGATCTAGTTACAAATAGTATCTAAATACTTTCCAAAGCTAAACTTTGTGAAAATTGATTAATATCTAGGTATAGCATTATATCTTTAATATTAACTTTTTCTATTACTTGAATATTTTTTATAATTTTTATATAAAGTGAGGAAAAGTATTAAGTTTTCCTCAATATTTGTGAAGCTGAATTAAAGAAGAAAAGTAAATTTAATTTTTTTTTGATATTTATTTATTAAAGTTGTGTAATTGTAACCTTTATTTACAATATTTCCCATATGGGAGGGTTTTTAGGAAAATCAAGTTCTGAGAAATTTTTGACTAAAATTAAGAGCTTAATACATTTTATTCTAATAACATCAAAAACTAAAATGCAATAAAAATCTCAATTTTGCTAAAAAATTCCCAGAACCTGATTTTTCTAGCAATCAACCCATATATAGTATCCCTCTTAAAATAGTATTCAGTTCCTTATTTAGTATTTGTAGATACTATTCAATTTGAAAAATCATATTTTTGATTAAGACTTTAGGTACTGTATATAGTGGCATATAGTAATTAAAAATATGTAAGTATAAATTGTTATAAATTATAAACTTAATACTTTGATAATTTTATAGATGATTTAATAAATAAAAAAGTATTTAAATAATGTTTTATATAAATTTTTATTATAATAATAATATATTAAAAGAATTAATGTATTTTATTTAAATTAAAGAAGTTTATATTAAAATTATTAAAAATTGAATTAATATTTTATAGTTTAGTATCTGAAAAATGATTACTAATTTTATAAATAACAAAGAAAATCAAGTTTAAATTATTAATAATATTTAAAAAGAATTATTTGAAAATTTCTTATGATTATTAAAATTTGTATATATTGATCTTATTTAAATTAATATATTACATACTTATTTAAAAGAATTAAAAGTTATTTAAATTAATTGTTAAATAGTAGCAGATAAATTTCTTATTTTATTTTAAGAATTAATAAGTAATGATTTTAGTTATTAATTTATTTAAAAAATAATTATTATTTATAATTTTGTTTTATTTAATAAGAGAGTCATTAGAATTTTATAATAATTAGATTTCATTTATTAAGATAAATGCTTTTGATATATATGATATTATATTTGAATTCTAATAGAATAATTAATAGTTGATATTTTCTTGATTATTTTATAATAATAAAATTTCATTTTTGATATTAATAATTTTATTAATAAAAATAAATTTGTCTTTTAGAATATCTAAATATTTTAATTAGTATTTATATAAATTTAAATCTGATTCATCAAATTCAGATTCAAATTTAAATCTAATTTATAAAATTTAAATTTAAATTTAAATTTAGATTTAGAAGAATTAATTATTTGCTATGATTCTTATTAATAAATAATTTATTATTATTTAATTAAAATAATATATTATTATTTTTTTAAATAATTTATAAATTAGAATAATTTATTATTATTCTTTTAAATAGTTTATTATTATTTAAGAAAAATAATTTACCATTATTTTAATTGAATAGTTCATTATCATTTAAGAAGAATAATTTATTATTATTTAAAAAGTATAATTTATAGTATTATTATTCTAATTAAATAATTTACTATCTTCTAATTGAATAATTTATTATTATTCAAGAAAGAAGTTTTATTGTTGTTTAATTAAAACAATTTATTTATATTATTCTTTTTAATATAATATATTATTGTTTGATTAAAATAATTAAAAAATTTATTTTTTTTTAATGAAAAGAAATTTTTTTAGATTTTTTTTAGAATTGAAAACTGTTTCTTTTAATAAAAAAAACTTTTTAAACTTTTTTAAAGTTAAATTTAGATAGATTAAATTTGAATTTTAACCAATCTATCAGATTCAAATTTAAGATTTAATCTATCAAATTTAAATCAATTTAAATTTAAACTGTTTTATCAAATTTAAATTTAGATCAAATTCGTAAAATAAAATCAGATCAGATTGGATTTAGATAAAATCTGATCTGATTTAATTTTACAAAACACTAATTTAATATATTTTATAAGGTTTTTGCAATTTAAAGAAATAGGGAATTAATGATTAGATTTAATCAAATTTCTTATATTATGTTATATGATTTATTTTAAGTAGATTTAAAAAGTGAGAATTTTTATTTTTGAATTGTAAGGTACTTCTTGAAATTCTGAAAAAGTTAACAAATAGTTTGTTAATAAAATTTTATTTTTTGCAATGGATTTTTTGATAATATCTATAGCATAATTTGAAATGAAAAATCATGTAAGAGAAATAATAATATTTATTTAATTTTTTATTAATATTTTTAATATTATTTACCATTTTTTAAATTTTTTATCTATAAGAAAATGAATTTTTCTTTTAAGATATTTAATCTTATTTTTTAACTTATACAAATGTTTTTCTTAAAATAATAAATGTTTTTTCTTTTATATTTTCTTATAAATTTTAAATTTTATTTTTATATTTAATTATATATTTAATAATTTAATTTATATATCAATTTATATTAAATATTATAAATTATTTAATAAAAATTTTAATATCATTATTTAATATTTAATTAAAACTTTTTAATATTAGTTAATAAGTGAATTTTAATATATAAAAAATTTATAAATTTTTAAAATTTATATATTATATTATTATTAAATTAAGTTAAATAATAAAAGCTTTTATAATAATATCTTTTAACTTTAATATAATATACAAATATATATATTTTTTTTAAAAAATCAAAAAAAAAACTTGTTTTAATATATATTTATATAATTTTATTATTATAATTTATAGTAATTATTAATAATTTATTTTTAATATTTTGATACAAATAATAAATAAATAAACATATGCAAGGGTGGTACCAATGAAAACCCTGAAAAATTTTTGTGACATTTTGCCTTATATAAAAATGTCGCAATATTTTTTTTTTTTTTCCCATGGATTTAAAAAATCCAACAAAAAATAAGAAATTTTTTATACAGTATAAAAAAAAAAAAAAAATCAGAATGCAACCTAAAAGTTCATTATCTTCAGATAGTAAATCATCATATATTTGGGCAACTATTACAGGACTCCTAAGCTCAAGTTGTTGTATAATACAGCTAATCCTCAACTTTTTTTCGATCGGTTGTGCAGGATTCAGTGTTTTAACACCATATCGTCCAATCTTTCTATCTTTTACCGCAATTTTAATCATATATACAATAACTAAATATGGAATCAGTTCAAAGCGAACCTTGATAACTTTGCTAATATCAATATCATTAACTGCTTCACCAGAATTAATTTCTTTACATAATCAAGGAAAGATAATCTCTTCGACCAATTCAAAAGAAATCTTGGTAAGAGAAATAGAAACGTTTGTTGTTGAAATAAATGGAATAAGCTGCGAAGGATGTGCTAATAGAATAAAAGCTCAATTTGATTCCAAACCCTTTGTCATTGATTCAAAAGTTTACTTTAAGAATCAATCAGCGATAGTTAGCGTTAAAAGTGGAACTTATAATTCAAATGATATTGAAACCTGGGTGAAAATGGTGGATTTCAAGTATGGAGCAAAAGTTATTCAACAATATATCAAAACAGTTGAGGAGGAATAAAATAAAGCCGTATTTGACTAAAGGAAGAATAAATTTTATTAAAAACATAAGCATTAAAATGTAAATACAAATGAACGAATTAATTTTTGGTTGATAAATAAAATAAAATATAAAAAAAAAAAATGTACAAGTCTATGCATGAATGTTATTATGTACGGGCGGAATTATATATAAATAAATTTTGTTAGGATGCTAGGACCACCTTCCTCTTTTACCAATCCCAACCAGCACACCTTCCAGCGGTAGCCTTTCCAACTAACCAGACAGTTTCCCAATAAAGTATGAGCTGTGATACTGGTTTTCTACAATTTTTGAAGAAGTCCTTGTCTATGACATATCTATATCGAGAATCTTTAAAAATTTTTGTCGACGGTGGTGAAGAGTTTGGTGAAGAAGTCACTGGGTTAATATTCTCGATAGGTTTTCCTTCAAACAAAGCGTCAAAAACTGCAACGTCAATTTCTTTGTATTGATAAGGTTGATGTCTGTTGTGGTTTATTGGTGGATAAGTTTGGGTTTCTTGTTTATTACGAAAAGATGAAGATTTTGGTATATTTCGACAAACTCTTTGTTTGAGCATGATAGACATTGCTACCGATCGAAGTTCACGAACGTCCATGGTTTGATGGTTTACTCTTGAAGTAAAAAAAAAAAAAAAAAGGAAGTGAAAATAAAATTTTTGTTTATTTACGATAAAAAAAAAAAAAATTAAAATTTGTTGATATATAAAGAGAGTGAGGTGAAAAAAAAAAATTATATATGAAATGTTTATTAAAAAAAGCAAAATGAAGACAAGCAGGAAAAAGCAGACATTAATCCAATATATGATTTCAAAAAATATTACCTCTTATAGTCTTTTCTTTTTAAAAATTGTGGGCTTATCAGGTGAACTATATTGTCAACTTAGAATGGGGTTGATCTGACCTACGATAATTTTGAATAAATTCGTACATTTTGTGCCGACAAAACAAAAAACTTTTCATCAATAATTGTAAAACAAAAGGCTTATTCTAATAAACTTTCCAAAAATTAATCACAACATTATAATACATGTCCTTCAGAAGGTTTACCACACAGAATTTATAGGTAGATGTATTACGAAATTGTGCACATAATCTCACCACCTTACATGAACATAACCATTCCATTGTGAAAGGATTTGATTAATTCAAACGCTTCATTTTTTTTTTTTTTCTTTTTTTTTTTTTTTTCTTTCTTTTCTTTTTTTCCATTGTTACTACTTTACGCCATTATGAATATTGCCCTCCTGACCTTTTATTTAAAAGATACACAAAAAAAAAAAAATATGGTAACAAATCTCAATTTTGGTTAATCAATTGGAAATCGGTTAACCTTCTGATGGCAACACAAACGTTTTGTTATTGTACTAATTAATAACTCATTTCAGAAATCAATCCCTGATCTGCAATACACGATATCAATTTTTTTTCTAGTTTCGTACAAGTTTTAAATTGTATCACAAGAAAAAAAAAAATTCCAAGTGTACAACATGATATTACAAAATAACCGCACCACATTCCACGCACTCGTGCAAATATTGTTTCATGTTTTAACGAAATGAACATATTATAGCACATGTCTCAGATCGAATATCCGAAAAAGGATAAACGATATTCGAATCTCAATATCGTGAACTCCAAAGTTTGAAATAAATACATGTTTGCTTATTAGCCGGTGGGCAATATTTCTCGAAGTTCTCTCAAGGGATCGTAAGGTCATTCATAAATAATCAACTTTACAAAGCTGAAGTTTGTCAAAATATTTTGAAAAAGAATAAAAAACCATTCACTTTATCCGCTGAAACTATGGATTTAGGTTTTCACCATTGTACCATTTTAAGATCATTTCGTAAATCTAGCCAATATTAGTATAAATAATTTTATCAATTGTATTTAAAGGTTTCAAAGAGACGGGAACTTTTTTGTGCGTTTACTTTTAATTCTCAATTGCTTCGTTTCATTATGACATATTCGCGTCCTTGATTGTGATGAAGTTTTTTGGAGTGTAATAATTAAATTATTTGAGAGTGAACGTTTCCTTGGAGAATTAAGTTCTGACAAAAAAACTCTGGTATAATACTATATAAATAATTTGGCTTTTTAATAACATTTTAAGGTGTTGTAATTTAAAGTGTTCTAGTTGGTATAGATTTCATACGATGACAAATAAAATAAAATATTATATTTCTCTTTTAAGAAACTTCCCGTGGAGAATCTAGGAACGATCAAATTAAGAAATAATGTATTGTTTGAATTAGAAATTGGAACATTTAACATTTTAGTGTAAACTTACGAAAAATTTACGAAGGCCTAAATAAACTTACGCAAACTTACATCGTTTGACGTGTTGTTGTTAAATCACAACACTTTATGTAAGTGTAAAGTAATTTTTTTTACAGAAAAGTATATAAAAGAATCAGAACTTACAAGTCGATTGTTCGTAAATGATGAAAATAAATTCTAAAATTTAATAGAACTCAACCATTAGATTCATATTTAATATACTGTAATTGATATTAAGCATTAGTCTTTTATTCGAAAATATATTTCTTCGAATTGGCTTAATAGAGGGATGATGTTACTACTGCTCTAGTCTGTTAAGCAACCTTTAAAGTAATCGAATTCAAGAAAGTATAATCATCATAATGCATTTTATTTAAATATTTTTCTTTTTTACATTGACGCCAATGAAAAGGCATGTTTTCCATTTCCTCAAACATTTTGTCAATTTACCTGTATTCAGTTAAAATATTTATGTTTTACTTTGGCGCAGCATAGTTATTGTTTCTGCGCCGTAATCAAGTGGCGAATAACATCGGATCCCATAGAGACTTCAAACTCCTTAGTTAAAATGCTTATAATGGAATGGTGTCTCAGGTTCATGCATTTTTTTTTTTTTGACAAAAATGAAGTAGGTATACGCACTTGCATTCTTTTATAACTAAATTTGTATGAAAATTTGGCCAAATACGGAAACAATGACCATTTTAAGATAAATACAATGAATTTTTCACACTTGCTCTTTTATTTCTTTTATTTCTGGAAAAAAAAAAAAAAAAAAAAAATGTATTATCAAGATGATAATGGAAATGAATTTGGAGAAAATATACCTTATCGCAAAGGAAAAGCGATTCAACTTGTTAAATATGAGAAAGGTATAAATGATGAGATTGGAACGATAACGTTAATTAAAGAAGGTCTTAAGATCATTCAAGATATTGAAGAACCCGTTGCAATAATTTCAATCGGTATATAATTTTTTAACCTTTTTTTTTTGTTTTATTTTTTTTATTCTTGTTAATATTAAGTGGTTACGTTAAAAAATTTTTTCTTATTATAATCATGAAAAAGTTGGGTCATATCGTAGAGGAAAATCGTACTTTGCAAATGTTTTACATGGAAGGCATGACGGTTTCGAACTCGGTTCAAAAGTAGATAGTTGTACCAAAGGAATTTTCATGTGGGATACGCCATTTCTTTACAAAGATCACAGAGTCATCGTATTGGATTGTGAAGGAATTGATGACCCGAAACAGGATGAAATTTGGGCCAAGAAATTATTTATATTATGCCTCGCGATCTCTTCTACTTTTATTTATAATATTAATGGTATCGTTGGTAGGGATGATATTGGAAAGTTATTCATGATGACTGATTTAAGTAAATTTTTGGCAAAAGGTGAAGAGAATGAAAGGGATTACTTACCAAGACTTGTCGTGTTATTGAGGGATTTTGGATTGGAATGTCCTGATGATTTTAAGGAATATTTTCTGGATAAGTTGACACAAGTTGATCCTGATGGTAAGTTACATTTTTAATGAAGATTTTTTTTTTTTTCTTTTTGTTTTAAAATAAAAATAAATGATTTTTGATCTTCGATTTTCGATTTTGACGTAGCCGCTGATGGAATCTTAAATCATTTTGAGGATTTTGACGTTTACGCTTTGCCTGTTTGTATTTTTTTTTTTTAAAAAAAATCTTTTGTTAAGAATACCTTTCTAAAAATTTCTTTATTAGCATCCAGGGTGTAAAAAAAAGGCTCTTCATAATTTAGAACAAATTAAAACGTCCCAACTTGATCCAGATTTTGTTGCTCAAACTTCAGAAACGATCTCCTATATCTACGATACGATTTCCACCAAACAAATCAATTCCAAGCCATTGACCGGCATTTTATTTTCCAAATTCTTGAAAGATTGCATTCAACACATGAACGCGACCACTTTAAACACGTTATCGTTACCTACACATTACACTTCTCTCATCAAATTTATGTCAAATTTAGCCAAAGATATGGGAGTCTCTTATTATTATGACAAGATGACGAAATTTTCAGATCGTTTTCCCATAGATTGGGATTCCTTTGATTACGAACACACCATAATATTATCCGATGCTGATTTTAGGTTTACCGAGAAGTTAATTGGAAATTATCACCAAACTACGGATGCCAGGGAAGAGTTTAATAGCTTGATTGAGAAGGAAAAACAAAAATTCGTTAAAATGAATTCTGATAACATAAAGAATTATAATTTGAATTTGGCAAATAGTTTATGGCGAGTTCATATTAAACCCGGATTAACTGCTGATTATCTGTTTGAGGTGAAAATAATATAATTATACGTTTATATACTCTTTTTTTTTTTTTTTATATTTATTTATTAATTTGTTTATTATCATCATTAGGATTATAATCTATTCGATGTTTCATTAGATAATTTTATGCAAGAATATACCAATAAGTCACTTCAAAGTCCGGAAGCAATGGAAATATATACGCAATTTAAACATCAAGAAACGGAAATCGCACTAGATACATTAAAAAAGATGTTTGAAATGAGAGATGTTATTAAGTCTACAAAAGACGCTCACGAAGAATTAATTAACCAAATTAATCAATATAAAGAAAGACTAGATCAATTGTTAGATGAAAATATTCAAGATGAATCTGATCATAATAAAAGAATTGAAGAATTTGTCTCGACGATTGAAAATCTTGAAGTTCGATTATCTCAGATCAATACCTCCGACAACTAGTTACGAACCATCAACAATCTATTTCAATTCGAATATACTCTAATTTATTTATTGAATCGTGTAATAAAATAATAAAATGGTGATTTAATCATGAGATTTCGGATATTGTATGTCGTCTGCATTAATTAACCATGTTATGAGATTTACAAGAAACGTGTGTTATAAAACATTCGTTAGAAGAAAGGGTTTATAAATCTTTTTCTCTTTAAATAAAAACAAATCCGAGCTACATTTATATAATATTTACAAAAGTATTAATTCACATAAAAAAAAGCATGGTCTATACGACTGGAACAATATTAATGGTAATGATTTCACCCATTATAACGTTTACTCCTTTGATGGGATTCACCAGAATGGAATTCCCATCTTTTTTCCATTCAACCTTGCCTATTGGGGAAATATTTACAATAAATCCTTTACTGTAATGATACGTTTCTTGAATCTTTATAATAGTAGGTTTCGTAATGGTTGGATTTATTTTATAAATCAAACTAAATTCATTTTCATCAAATTTCATGCTAATAGTATTTCCCGAGACAGCCTCTGCAAAGGTTCTGGAATATATTGATGCAACGTCTGGTCTGATATCACCCGATGCCGGATCAACTAAACCATCCCCCAATAATTGTCTTGTTAATGGATAAAAATCTTTATATTGCCATCCTATCCATGATTGTAAATATTGATCGGCTGCTTGGATGATTTTAAGTAAACCCGGGAGATTCTTCCCACCGTCATAAGCAGCTTCAAATTCTGTTAGCTGATGAAAAGAAAATAAATAAATAAATAAATAATCCGTATAATCTTTTCTAAAAAAAAAAAAAAAAGTGATCAGAACTATTTACCATTGTTGCACCACCTGTTCGATTAAGATCTTCTATATGGACTTGAAGATCAATATGAGGCGGTTTTATTCTAACTTCTCTATAATAATGATAACCAAAGGCGCTTCGATTTTTATAATCGGGACCTCCCGGTACATGATCAAATCCATTACCAAATATATCCCACGTAACCCCCGTATAAAATACGATGCTATTATTATCAACTTTACGTACTTCCGCGTTAATCGCATCCCAAAATGGACCTAAATTTTTACGAACGTTTACTTTGAACAAAAAATTTAACGATTACCATCTTATCATAGGCGGGGAGGGAGGGTAAATTTCAAAAGTTAAAAAGAAAATAAAAAGGGGAGCTTACTTCGTGGTATCCAAAGGCCAATATCTTCATGAGTATCACCAGGCCAAGGTTCATTAAGTAAATCATATCCAATCAGACTTTTACTATCTTTAAATAACGAAGCGATCTTTACCCACTGAGCAGCGAATGAATCTCTTAAACCATCAAAATTATCATATAACCTTTGCCATGCTTCATTCACCGCATTTGAAAAATAAAGTAATGCCCAATTTACTCTATCACACGTTTTCTTGTCCGGAAGTCCTGTCATTGGATCATATACTGCTGGTGGGCCTATCGGAAGCGGAAATGCCCATGAATCATCTGTTCGAACCGCCCATCTAGGGAACTTTTATCATGAAAGTAAAGGATGAAGGGTCAGAAAAAGGCGGGTGGTGTTTCCCTTTTAGAAATCGGGGTACTTACGCCTTCTCCGCAGAATAAGTCGCTCATTACGTCCTTTGATACATAAACCGAAAAGAAGACTTTTTTTTTAAAATTTAACGAAACAAATCGCCCATGTTGATTAAGCATCTCTTTTTCTCACCTGATGAGAATCTAACATCACGTAAATTCCGTAATCGCTACACTTATCCACAATATTTTTTATGATACTTAAATAAGTTTCATTATATTTTCCTCGTTCCGGTTCAACTCCGACCCATAAAACTCCAAGTCTAATAATATTCATATTAACGCTAGCCAAGATCTAATAGAATCAGAAGTTTTCAATATTTTGCTCGATTTTTATTGCTATATTTAGCATTCACGATGTCATTTACCTCCATGTCTTTCTCGGCAAACGAAGTCACCGGATCGAATGCATCAATTTTAGGATGATATGGGAATCCTTTATAAACCTTTCAACAAAACAACAATAAAGTACTTTAATATATATAATTTTTTGTTTTTTTCTGACTCGAGTGAATTTTCAAATACTTACAACATTGAGTCCTCGAAAGAACCTCTGTCTACCGAATTCATCAATATATTTATTATTTTCATCGATCCCAACAATCTTTGATATGGGTTCCGCAGCGCGTGCTATGATTACATGGCATAACGATGCGATCGCGAAAATCGTTAACATTCGTTTGATAAACATCCTTTAATTTTATCAAACTTGAAATGTAAATTTTATTTTATTTTATTTTGGGAGGGGGGAATTCCGTTACGAATGGTTTATTTTGTCATTCGAAATAAGCCATTTATTTAATTTTTTTCTGTGACTTAGTAGGTGGCTTCAATGAACATGTAAGCAACTTTTTTTTTTTCTTTGCAACGGCCAAGCGATTTCGCAGTTTTGGATATGGAGGCTTGTTTAAAAAAAAAAGCCATGATGAATGATATCAGTGTTTTTGGAATTCAAGGCTGCGCAAAAAAAAAAAAAAAGGATAATCGAAATCTTACGAAAAATGGAACTGGAATCAAAGGTTGGGCGTTTTTCCGGCCAAAATATACATCCAAAATATAGTAATTTATAAAAAAAAAAAAAATACAAAGTACAATAAATGCCGACTTTGTGCAAAAATTGAAACTAATAGACGCTCGGGACGTTCTAATTGTTGGTTTTTCCAATGAGGTCACTAATTTTGATTGTTGATTTCGCCGATCGGCCAAAAACGGCCGGATCATTGAACTAACGTAATAACATTCAGAATGAAACCCTCAAATAATATGAAAAAAAAAAGGAAACGCGTTCCTCTCTCCTTTGTCGATCGTATATACTGTATATGTATGTATTAGGACCGCAGTAAAAGAATGTGTGCTGCGGCAAAATCGGAAGTAACACCTTTTTTTTTTTGCGCATGCGCCAAGGATTTAACTTGGTTCATGCAACATTTGGTATTAAAGATATTATATGAAGATAAATATAGTAAAGTTCCAATTACAAACTGACTTTTACAAGATTAGGCTCGTTTTTTTTTTTTTTTTTTTTTTTTTTTGTAAAAGATGCAAGTTCTTGTTTGGGTTTCATTCAAGTTTAGAAATCATTATGATGAAGTTTGATCTTCAGCAGGAAAACTTGTTTATTTTTGGGTAGTCTTACATACTGAATACAATAAGTGTTTTTGGAATGTATTCCTTAGATTTGACGATACTGTAAGTTTCCCAAAATCCATTACGCCCTTGTTATGAAACTTCACATCTGCATGGATCAGCCATGATTTTCTTTTAGCATTTTCGAAAGTAGGTTTCTTTTATATTTGTTTGTATTTTGCTTTTAATAGAAAATACAATCCAGTTCATCTTGGCCTAATGATAATACCTGTTTAAACAGGAGAACAAAAGTTTTTTTTTTCTTTTTAGAAAAAAAAAGGAATTCATGCATATACAGTATCAAAATAATTAAGTTGCCAAAAATCGTATCATTTTTCATTTTTATTTACAATACAATCACGTTCGCAATGATTATAAATCAACGATCTTATCTTTGCCGTCCAAACGGCTCAACCGGCTGGGGTTTATAATACAATGAGATTCACGTGTTAGAATAATCACAATACCCTTACACTCTAAAGTTGCTAATCTAAACCTATTTTAGATTAATGATTGAAATGTCTAAGCTCCCTTCACCTGCGTTTACGCGCGTGTGACTACCATGAATCAATCATTTTGCCCAACATCCCAACAATTTTTGGTTGTTGTTTTTGTACACAAAAAAAGGTTGGTTTGCTCAGCCGAAAAAAAATTCCTGATTATTTTAATTCCTTCGAAACCTCTTAACCTTAACTTTTCCAAATCAATCTTTATTCACGGAGAAAATCTCACATCACACGTACCTTAAATACATCACATAACCTCAAGACTGACAATCTTTTTGAAATGATCAAGTTTTTTGCTGATGATCTACTACGTACTCGATGATGAGATCATACAACCTAGATTAGATCAGATTTCGCAAATCGTTTTACGAATGATGAAACGAGCTCACTCGACATTTTAAAAAGAAAAAACATTTTTTTTTTTTCTTTAGGCATCAAATAAAAAAAAAAAAAAAAAGACGTGGGGAGTTTTTTTTTCTCAAATATAATTTTTATTTATATTTATATTTTTTTTTATCAAAAAATAGTCATTAACATTCATGAAAATTCATCAGGATAAAATAAGTAAGGATTGTGTTTTCCTTGTTTAAACGATCATCATTAATTAATATTTTTACTAACTAATTGAGTAAATCAAGCTAACTACAATTAATTGAGATACCATTACATCCTTAACATTATAATGTAAAAAGTATATCATTAGATTAAATTAAAGGTTTTATAACTGTACAAAGAAAGGAATATTTAAAAAAAAAGTTGGGGAGATTATAATTATGTAAAAGGTATTATTTACTGTGTATATATATTTAAATAAAGATCTCTATAAATTAATTAAACATCCATAAATTCCGGATGAAGTTTCAAATCGGGAAATTTTCCCAACATATTAGCCCACTCACGTAAAGTACCTTCGTCCAACATATCATTGGTTCGTTTGCAATTCCCTTTAATATCAATATGTTTGTTGGTGAAATTATTTATTTCCCCATCTTCATTCATATCCTCATCAATCTCATCATCAAAAAACTCTTGTAACGATGTCGACGATTGTTTTTGTTTTAACGTATTCATGTCCTTGATACTCGAAACTTCCTTTTCTCGATGGTAGTAACCTCTCGAAGAGGAATTGGAGTATATCGATGAGAAGGACGAATGTGATGATGAGCTTGACGAATCGTTTGTTGGTTCGGGTATGATTTTTCGAATGAAAGCACCTGTGCGTTTCACTGCGTTACTGGCCGCCGGATGAAACAGGAACAATTGAAAAACGTGTGGCATGGCCCTAAACGACGAAAAAAGTAATAAAGTTTTTTAATAAACGTTCGTTAAATTTTATATTCACTGAAATTGCATATGACGATAACTTACTCGTAAATGTTTAGAGAAACCTTTGTCGGTGGGAACGCTCGAACTCCTGGTTTTTTGCACTCGAAAACTTCAGGATGTGTTTTCGATGCTTTATGAGAAAATAAAATTGCCTCATCCCTCAGCCTTTCTCCATTTCCACACGTCTAAAAGTCATGAAAAAAAAAATAAATAAATAAATAATCTCTTAATGATGCGTGTCCCAATCGGGGAATTGCACAACAGCCACGAATACGTACGATGAAAATTTCACCTAAACCTCCCAAATCATCAGCAAGAATTGGAGATACATAAGGTATGGATAAAGCGGAATTATAGGCATAATATTGAACCCTCTCTAACCTTTCCTTTACGTTGGTATAATCCTTTATCGGATTAGCAGGTGACGCTTTATTTACAAAACCGTTCGGTATATAATCGGTTGAAGCGTTTGAAAATATCGAAGGCAAAGAATGAAAAAGATCGACCCAAGGAGACCAACATGCTGCGCCAGCAGGTTGAGGAAGGCCAGCGTCTCGAAGTACGAGCATGATTGATAAGGCTAAACCACCTCCGGCAGAATCACCCATTACAACAATATTTTTTGGGCTTATCGGATCAAACCCGGCATCAGCGGGAGGTTGTATTAAATAAAAATATGCGGCCAAAGTATCAACGACAGCGGCGGGAAAAGGAGATTGAGGTGCAAGCCTATAATCAAAACTAAAAGCCCTAGCGGCGCCAGCTTTAGCGACCCTTTGTATTAAAAACCTATGCTGAGCGGCACTTCCCATGAAGTAAGCACCACCATGTATATAAAGAATTACACGATCCGCGGACGTTATCTTTTTCCTATTTTTAGCCTCAACCCATTCCCCTTTGATTGGATTTTGTTTCATCGGATCTTCTTTCCATCTCCAACCGACTTTCTCTTCTTGACCGCTTAATAAACCTGCCATTATATCTTCAGCTTGTGAACGACATGTTTCTGGTACTATCGCCTTTTTTATAGATATGGAAGGTGGAGAGGGTATATGAGCTTTTGCAAGTAATTTTTGTTGTTTTTCAATTGTCTTATGTTTTCCTCGTTGAAGAATTCCGCGAACCATTGTGATAGCTAAATGTAGCTTTAAATCCCAATTTGAATCGGGGATATCATTTTTAAAATGCTTAAACACCGTGCTAAGGAACTTTGGGGTCAACGTAGCAATATCTCTAGGATCTACAGCCATTAGAAAGAACTTTTAAAACATTCAACAAATAAATAAAATGATTTCTATATAGAATGATGATGATGATGATGATGATGATAATTATTATTATTATTATTATTTATTTATTTATTTATTTATTTATTTGTCCTTTTGCTCCTCTCTCTTCCTTTTTTTTTTCTTTTCTTAAAAAAATAAGCAAACTTTCAAAAAAAAAAAAAAAAAAAAAAATTTCAAAAAAAAGATATATATTATATATATATTTTTTTTCTATGAAGAACGTGAAAAAAAAAGCGGAAGGTAAATGGAAAACAATAAAAAATCGACAACATTTATATATATTATATGTGTGACTCATGTGGACGTTTCAAAACGTGCGAACTGTTTTGTCACACCTACTAAAAACATCATTAAAATTACAACTGCCATACGTATACTTTCGAAGTAATGATATTCATTAATGTTTTTATTATGTACGCTTAACCTGTTATTGCCAACCTTCCACTCGTTCACGACAGATATACAACCAACTCTTGCCATAAAGGTGGGATTGCACCTTGTTTATTGACTGTAGATGGCTATGGAGGCGCAGACGTTCTATAAATTCGGAAGGTTCCTGAAACAAGAAATAACGAGAAATAAAGCTAGTAACCAACTTTCTTTAATTTAAAACCACATTAATTATTCAAAGTTAAAAATAATCTAGTTTATTCCATATTTGCGTTTATTAAAGTTGCGAAGCTTGTTTGTCAACTTGTTAATGCACCTTGTTTAAAGACTTTTCCTTATTGTCGTTGAATCAAGTTTTCATTCTTGAAAATGTGTTTCTTTTAAGGAAATAAATCTTTTTAAGGGAATTATTTAATTTAAAACGTTATGAGATAATAAAAAATTTTTTTTTTTTTTTTTGAGAAAAATCTGATGTGCTGATATGTTTACATTTTGGCGGGCGTGTATCATTCATCAACCTATGGTCTGACCAATGAACGGGTATTTTCCCGCCT